TTCAATCTGGCCCATAGGGCCACCCTGGAAACAGCAAAGGACGAGCCCAAGCTACTTCTGCCACCAAAAACAGAGCATGTGTCGCCCCCCCCCCCAGCTCCATTTTCACTGGCAGAGCGCTCAGGCCACAACAGCCCCCCCCCAACACAAGTGATGCTGAGTTGGCCACGCCATCCTGGCCACACCCACCCTGGCCCCCTGACGTCAAATACAACCCTGATGCGGCCCTCAATAAAGTTGAATTTGATACCCCTGATCTAGAGTCAAGTGGGCCCTAGGAAAGCCTTTAATAATGCAGCCCAGTCATTGTGTGTGTGTGTGTGTGTTTGTATGTGTGTGTGTGTGTGTGTGTCTTCCTGTACCTTTGGGACAACCAGGATCTGGATCAGAGGTGGGTTTCTACCGGTTGGCACTCGTTCGAGCAAACCGGTAGTGGTAATTTGGCCTAGGTCGCAGAACTGGCAGCAACCCAGGCTGGCCACGCCCCTGAACCACTTCCCTGGTTTCTGCTGCCATTGCCGGCATGTTTTTTATTAGCTGTTCATGGTCTTTGCGCATGCACAGAACAATTTACATGAACTGAGCATGCCTGAGCAATGCACATCTGTCGCGCGTACGAGCCAAGCGAAGCGGTACCAACGGCGGTAGGAACCCACCCCTGACCTGGACAATTGGGAATGTCCACTGATGTCCATATGGGGGATCATGTTCATTTTCAGTTCAAGCACTGACTGGGAGGGGTGGACACCAGGAGACCTTCCGTATGGTTATACTATATTCTCTATGGACTCAAGCTCACCAAGTTCTTCACCCATTTTGCTTTGTAGCCCTGAGTCTGGCCTCCCCTTTGAACAAAATTTATGCTGGCTTGTGGAATTACAACAGCTGCCTCTCTTGCATTGCCATTGGAGGGATGTTCTACGCCCTCACCTGGGAGACATTTGTGTTGGCAATAGCGTGCGGTAAGTAACCAGGCCCTTTATGGTAGTTACACCAACGCTTTGGGCACCAGGGACCAACTCCATGTAGAAAGGTTTTTTCGGCAGACCGGAGGGGGCGTGGTTTCGCCTGCCTCCTGCGTCACATGGATAGCCCTTTGCTTGTTTGCGCGGACTGGTTTCTGGCACCCCTGGTTTCGGGGTGTCGGGGACCCCTGCTTTACATCCCTAAAATACAGATAGTTGCCAATGTACGACCGATGGTTTAGTGATCTGTATGGTCACCAAGTTCTGATGGACCCACCACACAGGTAGTCCTCGAGTTACAAACGTCATGGAGCCTGCCCATTCCCTTCGTAACCCGAGGATTTGTAAGTTTGTAAGTTTAATTTTATTTATAGGCCGCCCAATCCCGAAGGACTCCAGGCGGCTTAAAGAAGGGAAGAGAAAGAAAATAAAAGAAAGTAAAAATAAAATGAGACAAGTTAAAACGACACAGGTACATTCACTTCAGTCGGGGCTGGACCTCAACAATGAGGTCAACAGCCCCAGGCCTGCCGGAAAAGCCAGTTTGACCTGAAGTATGCACACACACAAACACACACACACTTTTGTGCATGTGAATTAAGAGGGTGGTAGTTTTATGCCTTTCATAATTTCTGAGCAGACCCTCAGTTTCATCTCCAAACTACTATTGCGAGCTACTGATCTTCTGGACTCGTTCCATACAACTACAGGCTTAGTCACGGACACGCCCATTGGCAACCCCATATAATAGGCCAATAGGGCGGCAAGGTAGCATGCAATGATTTGAAACAAATGATATGCCATGGGTTATTTTCCAAAAATGCAGTGGGAGGCCTGTGTGTGTGTGTGTGTGTGTGTGTGTG